ACGTATTAGATCAGAATTATCTCACACGACGAAATGACGAAATGATCAATCCCATTAATTTCCAGATGATCGAATATTTCTCCGAAGTCGAATTGAATCTTCGAATCTACGTAATTGGAATGTATCCATTTGTCTGTTTATTTGGTTTTCCAAAATTCAAGTATCTGGCGCTATTGACCATGCTCGGTTCCATATTCATACTGACAGGCATTGCCGTCACCTTCAGTTATCTCATCGAGGATTTTCCTGATCCGAACAGATTGGAAACTTCCACTCAACTAATGCCAATCCCTACGTACTGCAACTTATTCCTGAACGCTATGCACAACATGACCGTGACCATGCCGCTCGAGAACAGGATGAGGACTCCGCACAACTTGCCACGAATGTTAATACTCAATGCATCGTTTAATATCTTATTGTACACGTCATTCGGATTCCTCGGTTACAACAAATATATGTACGATGTCTACGACACTGTAGTCAAGAATCTACCCGTCGATGTACCGTGAGTTGATGTCTTTGTTTTTCATTTTTATGGGTTTTCGATTTCATTTTTTTTTTTTTTATTTTAATTTTAGATATGCGAAGATTAAATCAATCTTTATCTTTTTGAAAAATTTTAAATTGATGAAATTTAAGATCAATATTATTTTAATTCAATCTTTCATGAAATTTTAATTGCATCAGAAATATTTGAGATGATGTATTTAAATGAAATATTCAAAATATATAATGATGTTAATATATAATGATGAAAGATGATAATGAATTTCTCTTAACACGCTGTTGATTAATTACTTTATATATCAAGAACTAGTTGTTATTGTGCAATTAGTTATTATTACTTTAGTAAAAAGATTGATTAAATTTTGATATAATTTAATAAACTATCTAATCTCAATGAAACTAATAATGATGTAATAATCGTTTTTTATCATTAACTAACTTATAGATAAATTATTGTACTTATTCAAAGACTTTGAGATGTCTAAATAGGATTAAAACAATATAATGAAATATTGTATTGTAATAGATTATTGATTAGTGATTTATAGTGATTAATAAGTTTAAAGTTTCAGGATTAAATTCCATTATATTTATCTTTTATTTTTATTTATAAATTGATAGAAATAAAAACAGAAACGATATTTAATTAAATTTTTTTTTAATTTTTTTTATTATTTTAATTAATAAAATATAGAGAATTTAATAATAAGTAGAGTTTATAAGTGATATAGCAAAATTTTTATCATTACATTGAAATATTGCAAACAATGTTATCCAGATAAAATTCCTCAATACTGAACATACATTTATTGCTTGTAATATTCCAAACTGATATGTACTATGTATAAATATATATACTTGATGAAAGTACTTATGTACTAAGATATGTACTAAGATAATTCTTTAATTACGTACTTGATATTTGTGTAAATATATACAATTCTCTCTAAAAAGTTGAATTTTATTTTCTAAGAAGAAAAAGGAGGAAAATCAATTATAACAAAGAATTTGAAAACGCACGTTTTTTTTCAAATAAATTAGGCTCAAAAGAAATTTTTTCAAATTATAATCATAAATCAAATAATCATGATAAAAAACTATATTTAAATTATTTTAATAATCAGATTAATATTAATATTATTATATACACCGAAAAGAAAAAATTTATTTACTTTTCTGCTTTTCAATCAAATTATCAAAATAATTTTTATACACAGTATTATCACATAGTGTAAAGATAAATATGTATTATCTATTGTCAATATTATATTATTGAAACGATGCATTTATTTTCACGAAAAAGAATACAGAAAAATCTAAATTATACAGAAATGGAATTTTATCTATATATCGATATGTTTTCACGTATATCGAAATATCAATGTCCTCTCGAGAATTTGAAGATGTCTATAATTTCTTAACATTGCCATGAAAAATCAAAATATTGTATAATCCTTCTAACTTGAGCTTTAATATCTTCAAACAAACATTGTGCACGTTACGTATTAACGTATTATATAATTACACTAATACACTATGAAATGAATAATTACACTACTCGATTAATTATTCATTTTTCATTCATTCCTTCACACCGCTATTGAGATGTCATCGAGATATTTACATTATTTTCCTAAAAGATCAATATCTTTTCGTAAGCAGTGGCGTATCTAAATTTCTAAAATAATAAGCGGCGTGTGTACGTGAATGAAACACAACATACATAATTCATACACGTTAAGAAAGTGGTACGTAAGAACATGTTTTGAGGATGGAAGCAGCATGCAGATCATTTTATTTGCAACACGATACTGTATCCTCAAACGGGTGGCGCGTTTAAGTCATTGCTACAAAGTGTTGAAATCACAGTCGAAGGAATCGGTATCAAGGAAATCATTTAAGGTCTTGAAACGTAATTTTTTTTTTTTTTTTTAATTTTACGGTCGGATGGCCGTTTATTATAAATTTTTTTAAATTTCGTTCCACTTTAAAATAATTTTTGTTACAAGATTTATCAATTGTATCGTTAATAAATGTCGAGGAAAAATGTACGATATAAATCTTTTGAGTGATCGAAGAATAATTAGTTGTGTCGTAAATTATTATAAAGAAACATGAGCAGATAAGCGATATCATGTTGATTAATAATATTATCATTTACGATTCGGTATAGTAAATATTAATCTAGACTAGAAGTTTTATCCAATTAAGATTATCGATTTCGTATATCGGCTAAAAAATTCGCAGACTTTGTTTAATGGAAGATAGTGGAAAGTGGAATGAAATGAAATATGATTTAATTTTTTCTTTTTTTTTTTTTTTGAAGATATAATGTTTCGTGTAATTAATCATACCTGAGTTATTGTACATTTTTAAAATTTATTTACTATTTCGATTAATATATATTTATGAATAAAATATATTTATGAAATTATTATATTATATCGAATATAATTTTATTATATTTTATTATATTTAATTGTATTATATTTGTAATATCTCATTGGGATATCATTGCATATTGTAATGTGCACATTATATTTTTTAGTGAAAATATTTTCATACAAAAATTCCATCTATGTTCAAATTTTATCTTATCCTAATTAAAACATGAAATATCATTTCACGATTTGATGAAACAATTTCGAAATCAAACTTTAAGTACGAAAAAAAAAAAAAAATCTGATAATGAACTAATCGCCATTTCGCAAAGTGTAATACGAAAAAATTGCCTACGTAAAATATCTTATCGATATTTCCTTTAATACAATCACGTTATATTCAAAATCATGCACAAATTCTTCATGATCATCGAATAAGAAATGAAAGGTCAAGTGACTAGACTAGACAAAGATTAATAACACAGAAACAGTTGGAGATTTTTGTATTTTTTGATAGAAATTCGGATTACATGATAATGCATTGTTTCCAGTGATTAGATGTCAAATGATGATTTTTCAAATTCGCATCGCAATTGATATGAGTTAAGGAAATTAATTATCGATATATTCTTTTTAGCAGAAGTATAGAAATTATTAATCGATTAGTATTTATTCGAAGGAATTTTTTTTTTACAGTAATTTTCCATACAGAGAAGAATAAAATTTTTTCTTGGAATATCGTTGACGTTTTTTTTTTGCCGTATATATTTTTCTTCTATATGATTAACATTCCTTTGAAAAAATTGAATAATGAAATAAATTATATGAAAAGGATTTAATGATCACTGAAAAATATCGCGATATATGTATATACTACACGTTTATATACTAGAACGACTTTGGTGTATTTCAATTAATTTTTTTTTTTTAAAAATGAATAATATTAACAATCGAATTTTATTGATTATCATCTAAACTTTAAACTTTTTTATCGTTAGAAAAATTTATTTAATAGCATAAAGTTCTAATAAGAAATTCATTTATTCATTTTAACATCAAATATTAAGAAAAGATAACATTCTTTAATCGAATAAAAATATTTAATTAAAATTTAATAATATCAAGTAAAATTAAATTTTTGTGCGTTATCAATTAAAATTTACGTATTTCTTATCAAGAGAGGTATTAAATTATAGAGATACAATAGAGATACAACTTTTCCAAGAAGAATAAAAATCTTTCAAATTGTTGTTTGAAAACATATATAATCATCATTAATATTCTTTAATTATTACAATAACAATTTTAATTTCTTTTTCTTATTTCTCATTAATTATTTCATTTTATTTCCATTAAATACTTTTATTTCGTCTTTTAAATTAATGGAAAAATTCGAAAGCTATCTTGAAAAATCGCCAATCTCTTAATCATTTAATCTCTTCAATCTTGATAGAAAAAGAAAAGATTGGATCGATTTATTCTTCATCAATTCGTTCAATCTTTTCTGGTATGTAGGCCGTATGCATGTCCTCGAAAATCTTAATATCACTATTTACACGTACTTCGTGATATTTTTTATATTTTCTTATCTATCCTCACTTCGATATTTGTACACACACGTATATATGCACTGAAACATTTTCAATGGTATTTGATAGAAAAGAAAATTTTCTATTTCTATTTTTAATTTTTTCGAATTTTTTTCAAACATTCAAAGAGATTTATTCCAGAAAAATTTTGCAATATTAACAGTTTAGATAATTACGTATTGGTATATGGTTATACGAGAAGAGAAATTGAACAATTCCATAGAAAATTTATTTTATTTATTAAAACATTAGTTATACTGATACTGATTAGTTATACTGTATACTAACATTTGCTTGATCTTTTATTTATTAGCATAAAAATTTATTATCTTTCAAAAAAATTATTATAAATATATATATATCATCCTGGATATACAACATCATTTATCTTTTATTTATTTCTTTGTGGAAGATTTTGTAAAAGTTATCTTGTAAAACATATTCGAAGAATTTGTTCTTTACGTTGAACATCTGGCATTCAAAGTACATCCATCAATTCTGTTTCGAAAATATGTACATCATATATGATTTCTTGGTTATATTTCAGACTGTTGTTTAATATAATTATTGAAATGATACCTGTTTCTATAAAAACATGTTAAGTACTAGAAAATAAATGATATTGAAATATATTATAGTTTCTACTAATTCTATTATAATTATATAAATAATAATTTTTACTATAGTAGTTTACTGTAGTTTCAATTAATATTATCACTTATATTTGTGTATGTATCACTTATATAATTCCTTATATTTTCTTCACTTTGATATTTTCTTTGAAATATTTCTTTATTATAGAAATATATTATATATTTCTTTTTATAAAAACATAAATTTATTTTTTAAATATTTCTTATTTTTATAATTGTCACGTTTATGAATCATTCTAAAAAACTGATAATTTCTCATTAACAATGAAATAGCAACATTAATTATAACTTTAATTATAACTTCTTCTTTATATATATATATATATATTCAAGGTTTAAGCGGTTAAACATACTCGAATGTATCTTATCTATTGCGACTTTATCTATGCAAAATACAACTCTTTAAACTAAAATAAAATATTCCAACATTTTGTACATACATCAATTCCATATTTAAGTGACAAATTTATGTCTGCGTTTAATATTTTGAATTTAAAAAAATTAAGTTACACTCGATATATATAAATATATATATAAATCATCATATTTTGTAAATAAAATTTATTTTTTTATTCTAGACTCACGCAAACAGTGAAAATAACCATTGCCCTGGCTGCTACGTTTTCGTTTGGAATAGCTTATTTTGTACCAGTCTCGATAATATTGCCCATGATCCAAAAAAAATTTGGCAAAATAACTGAACATTATGATGAAAATATCTTCCGTATAATTGGAGCAACCGCAACAAGTAAGCATAATTAATTAATTACAAATTACAACGCGTTTCTTTTTTTCTTTTTTTATTTTAATTCCCTCTTAAAGAATCGAATTTGGCATAAATTTTACATGTATGATCGAAACAATGTTAGTACACTGTATGATCGTCAAATTAAAAAGAAACAATTTTCAAAAAAAAGAAAAGAAAAGAAAAAAAGAAAAAAAAATATAATTTTACAATAATAGCAAAAAAATCGATCGTACATTATTAAAATTATCAGATTTATTTTTGTTATATATATTCGCAGCAATATTGGCAATTACAATTCCGCAAATGTTGCCTCTACTAGGATTTCTTGCAGCGTTAAGCATGAGCACGATTATAGTATTGATCCCTATAGTGATAGAAACAGCGACGAAATGGGAGACTGCCACTCGATTTCTTCTCGCAAAAAACATTGTTATTTTTATAATATGGATGGTGTTATTCGTAAGTATCGAAACTTCATGATTCGCATGTTCCGCGTACTTCACGAATTTTTTGTTGATCGTTCGAATTTTTGTCTAATCTACATGATATTACAATATCGTAGAAAATCGTATATCGAGATTAATTAATCAATTAATATTTGCAAATAACGATATTTATAATATATATATATATTTATAAACTTAATAGTTATGTTATGCTCGATATCGAATACCATTATTAGAATTTAACGTAATTAACGTAACATAATTATTATTTATTATGCAATATTGCTTTTTTTATCTAATAATTTAAATTAGTTTTTTTTTTTCATAGTCAAACAATGGAATATTTTTTTCAATGAAAATCAAAAGTAACGAGGTTTGAGTTCAGAAATTTAAATGCCATTATTTAAATTTTTGTAAGGTGTATGAACTTTGAGGTGCAAGAAACCAAAAAATGACATTTCATCTAAGACATTTTGCATTTTCTCGATTTCGTCATACGATAATTAGTATTAGTTATTTTATGTTATTTCCAAAGTTAATCCAAAATAACAATCTAGTCATGATCTCGAGTGTAATGAAACGACGAGGGAATGTAAATTATTTCGAAACTAAAAAAAAAAACTTGCAAAAAAGAAAAACTTCAACTACTTATTTATTTAGCTGTGAAAAATAAAATGCCAAAAGTTTGATCTGCAATTTAATCCGCACGCCAGAAGTCTAATGAATGTTTAAGCAATGGAAAATTATTCTGAAATCGTGTTCGCTGGAACATTGATTTCCTGTGTTTTTCTGTATCCAGATAATGTTCCAGTCGAGTGGATTGGAAATTTGTATAAATCGTCGATATAAAATAATATGGACGAAATAATAGAGAAAAATTTTTCGGATCGATTTCGATTATTTTCTTCAATTTGTATTTTATAGAGTTTTGGAATAATCGAAAATGCAGTAAGAATTGTCAAGGAATACAATTGAATACGATACGAAAAAGAAAGGATGCTGATTATCGAAGTTGATTAATAAAAATGCCACTAATTTTCTTTGCTGTATCTGTGAAGGGACTCAAAGAAAATGCAAAACCGATTTGCAAGCCGATAAATTATTTTGCAACACAAAAGTGTACAATTTTACGGTACAATTTAACTGCAAATTTCATTCGTTGTTGTTTTATTGATTTAATCCTTTGTTTATTATTTAATCCAAATATAAAATACATAACAGAGGAAAGTTAGAAATACTTGAAGCAAGAATAATATAACAAACAATGAGACAAAGATAAATAAGATATTGTTTCAATTGTTATGTGTAAATATATATTTGTAAAAATATAATATTGATATTTATTGATATTCTTTTTTTATTTACGAATGTGAATTGATACTTATGCTTAGCTACTTACATCAAGTTAATTACATCATCGTGAGGAAAAGATCTGTAGATCATGGAAAAATAATAAATCGAAATGCTTGGAGCCCACGCGGTTTTTATTGAGTCATGAATAATTTAATATTCATAGCATAGATTTGAATATTTACGCGAACAATTATACGAATGCATTTGTGCTAATCGTTTTTATTGAAACGATCTTCGCGTATAAAAACCGTATGTATTTTTCAATTTTGTCTATTAACACTTTCTTCTAAGAAAAGAAAAAAAAAAATTATATTTGGCTCTAAATTCCTTTATATTTTTTTTAGAACGTAAAAAATAAACATCGTCTCGCATTGTTTTTTTTATCGAATGTCAAAAAAATTCATAAGTTCGATATTCTTCTTATACTTTTTTTTTTTACATTAAAATAAACAACGAAATTTTAATATAAATAAATTGTAGATGTGCAAAGAAGCGTTAACTTAAATTCTTATATAATTCCATTGTCCTCTTCTTTGTTTATACGATACAATTTACGATAACGCACGTTTAGTTTAATATAAAAAAAAAAAAATGTATGATAAATTATATCTTTTACATGGAATCATTATTAATCGTGACACAATCGTCCACCTATTTCACTGTATTCACTTGTTTAGAATTTAAACATTAAGCGACATACACTTACTCATCCAGAAAGAATGAATATCTGTTACGTAGTACACATTGAAATTATATGCTGTGAATATTTTTATAAATAACTATTCAAGTAAAATTATCAAATTTCAAATTGCGATCCATTAAAAAATTACAATCCATTACAATTCTTAAATTTCCTTCAAAATTACTTTTTTTAAATCTCCCCTCCCTTCACAAAACCTTTCTCCTCAATTCCAAAACTGATCCTTTCAAATTTTCTCATTTCGCTCCGCATCAAAACCACATACGTTTTACGTTAAACCCTCTTATTCTTGCCTCCCTTGCAACTTCTTCCACCATCCCCTCCCCCAACACGAATCCAAAATCGCTCCTCCTCCCTAAAATCCTCTCCTTCGAGAATTCAAAATTCTCTCGTCAATTCATCATGCACCAAACCTTGGAAACAATGGAGGTCGAAACGAGTGGAGTTCTCTTTCGAAGGAAAAAGAGTGCATAGAGAGAGAGAGAGAAAGAGAGAGAGAGAGAGAGAAAGAGAGAGAGAGAGAGAGATCATCGACACGCGGGAGATCGATGGAGGGATTGTTTGGCCGTTGGTCGAAGCGAGGAGGACGGATCGAAACGAGGAAGACGGATGGAAGGTGAAAGGGAACGAAATGCGGATCGTATGAGATCACTCACGGAATGAATTTCACAGTAGTCCTGTGTCGATCGTCGCGATGCTTTAAGGATCGTAGCGACTCGGTGGTAGCGCGACGACGACGACGAAGACGGCGACGCGTTTTCGCGAGCAATTCGTCCCATAGAGCTTATTAGGAGGACGGCCTCTATCTCCCCTCCCACAACTCGCGACGTCGATTCTAGCGGGACACGAGCGATCGCGCGTCTATGCACAAGCCTGCTTCGTATATATACCTGCGTAACGCCGAAAAAACCTGGCCAGTCGTGTACGAAGCCTGTCACCGTTACACGCGCGGATTTCCCTTGCTTCGCGTTCCCTCTTTTTGCCGTTCAAACACCGCCACCGCCGCTTTCCTCGGAGAACGAGGAGATCCTTACTATCCTTGGGGGACCGATCGATTTCGACTGGAAGATTTTCCGTGCGCACTTTTCAAAAGTAATAAAGTTTGGGACGAGAAACTTTTTTTTCTCTTCCCTCATCGAAAGTGGAAGAACTCTTTGATTTTGGATCCATAAAGTCTCCCAGAGGGATTCGAAGGAATCTCCTCTGAGTTGAAGAAAATTAGAAAAATCTAATTTGGAAGAGAAAATTTGAAAAAGTAGACAATTCGAAAGAGTTAGAGAAAATTTATTATTAATTATCAGAAGTGGACAAAGTCGTCCTTCGACGAAATCGGACGAGATCTTTATAGAGAAAGAGAGAGAAAAAGAGAGAGAAAAGATTTATCCAATTGGAAAAATTGGATATAATTGGAGAAGAATATAGAATTTTTCCTGAAGTATTTAATTACAATTTCGCTGGCAGTGGCAAAAAATTCGTATACGAATATACGAATCAACAACAAGTTATTATAACTCAACAAAAATTATTATAACTTGCTTTTTTGTTTTTTTTTTCGAAAAATTTCCATCCAATACTCAACAGAAGTTGTACGGAATCTTGCTACTTCTCCAAGTGTTTCGAACAGTTTTTCCTTCGCGGCGATACGACAGACAGAGCTCGTACAAATTTGAGACTGGCTCCTATCGATTATCAGCACGGTGATAAGGTAAACTCTAATTGGCTACCGGCAACCGGGAGATACGATCGTGGAAACAGAAGCACTTTCGATTGCATCTGTGAGCCGCGAGGATTTACTTAGCTCTGTGCCGTTGATCGATAAATCATATCGCATGACGGTAACCAAGATTTTAACAAATGAGAATAACAGAAACGGTCGAAATCGTTATCTACCGCTACATTGCCAGTGTTCATTCAGAGAGATAAAATAAGATAGGCGGAGGAGATCGATATAATAAAGGATCTTTCGAATCGAAAATCGAGGAGGAGAGAGAAAGAGAGAGAAAGAGAGAAAGAGAGAGGGTGGAAGGAAGGATCTTTATTCGATGTGTTCTAGGATGTGAATTGAGAATCGTTTTTTAAAGAAAAAACAGAAAAACTGTCAAAGATTTTTTCATTCTGGAATTCTGAAAATCAAGGATCGAAGACATACACGTGAGTACATTTGTTGTATATCCAATGCATCGATAGCATAAACAAACGCGTAAAAATCATTTAAAGCGATATCGAAGCGGCTATAACCAGTTAATGATTATAACTTACTTACGTAACAAATTGGTCTTTCAACGATTGACGAGATCGAGATTCGTTTCGCGATTATCGAGCACGTTTTTATTGATCATTACTTCGAATTAGTACTCCTGTTTGGAAACACGACGTGTTACAACTTTAAATAAGATTCATATTGATACATGTCAAAGTTTGAGAATGAATTCAAGAAAAATTTTAAAGATTTTAGAATTATTAGGTTTTTTTTCAAGTTTTGTGAAATTCTTCTCTTTGAATCGTTTTTTTTTTTTTAATATTTGTTCGTTAATATTTGAAGAATTTTAGTCGCATGAAATTGGTCGAATGATTCTGCGTGTTGTGATTGTAAAGATAATGTTTGCTCGAACGCGTGATTAAAAAAAAAAAAAACAAAACACGAAAAACTTTTAATCAGGTATTTATCTTTTTCTTTTGACATATAAATTCGTGTTATATAAACATTGGAACGTAGATAGTCATAAATGTTCCCCGAACGAATTTTCGCAATTGATTTCTTACGATTCCTCGAATGCTTTTATTTTTTATTTTTCTTTTTTAATAATGTTGACGATAACGTCACACTACTTTAAATTCAATGATAAAATATAAAATTTATATAAATATTGCAATACAATTGTATAATTGTGAAATTTATGTATCAATTTTTCTTCGATCGATATTTTAATGTTCAAATAATTTTATTCGAAAATATAAATATAAAAAAATCTTTTTCTCAAGTAAATAATAAAATTTCTATCGATATATTTATTTCTATATATATTTCTTATCTCCAACATGAAATATAAAATGCTCATCTCGTTAAATATGTTTGAACGTTTATTAAATATACAAACGTAAGTTAACGATAGTTTTTATTTCTTTTTTATTTCGCTCTCTTCTTCTTTTTGATCAAGTTCATTCATCGATTCATTTGTCATAAAAAACGTTCATTATTCACTTGCCTATTTTCGCAGATAGAAAATGTTTAGATAAGTTTAGATAATCCTTTATAAATATTTACGATTGTGTTTATTGCGGAAGCCTTGAGGTTAATGAGCTGTTTGTAACATTAATATTGTCATTCAATGGCTATTTTCTTAAACTGTAGATTATTCGTTCGCATTTCTTTTTTTTTTTATTTCGTGTGAAAATTGTATGAACCGTGCACAATTGAATGATTCCAATATTTGATTAAAAAAAATAGAATTTATAAAACTATCGTCGATAATCGCAGACATATTTTAAAAAACGACAAACGATTCAATGTGTATAATCGGTATGTAGAACTTGTTTAAAAATTAAAAATTAAAAAAAAAAAAAAAAACTATATTTCGTATGTAAATAATTCTTCCATTTTAGAAACATATCTTGCATTCGTTAGAATACTCGACGCTTATTAACTTTCTGTTTTACGACTATTTTAATGCCTAAGTACGTTAGAGTTAAATATTGAAAATCTCTAGACAGTTGTAAATGTCTGTTTTCCAAGAAAAGACGATACATTATTGTTGATTAACTTATTTATTTATTTTACTACATTTTAGAATATTTTAACACATATATAGTATATCGAAAAACTCAAAAACTCTTTCTTTCGATAACTATTTATCTGAAAAGGATAAAAAAAAGTGGGAAAAAATCACGAGAAAAAAATCACAGAGGATAGAAATAATTGAGAAAACGTTTCGATTCTCGCGAAACGCGCGTGAAGTCATGGAAGAAAATTTGCATATCGATTATGGAGATACAGTTTTCTTCGATAAATTTCCTTCGAAGCACAGAGTCGCGTGCCTGCCGCGTGTACCGGAAATGGACTATCATTGCCTTGGTGCAACGTTGTGTCGGCCGAATGTTAAAACATAGGTTTATCGTGGAATGTGGTTAACAGGTGGGAACACGCGGAAACTCGGCTATGATAATTGAGGCTTACTCGATTACACACATCTACGCGCGATAACGTGCAATTTTTTTTCTTTTATTGCCATACCGTGAATTAATAAATTTCATTCTGAATTTAATTTCAATCGTCATTTGACTCGAATGAGTCCAAGTGTGATAATTGCTGTTCGAGCGTCACGAGACAAAGTTTCTGCTTTGCAATTTTGCAGTTGTGAAAGAGCCGGCAAAAAAAAAAGAAAAGAACGAAATACGAGGAATTTTTTCTCAGAAATACATTTGTTTCGTGTTATAAATAGTTATTTTGCTTAAATGTCGAGTAAAATAAAGTTGGAGTTCGAGAGTTGGATCGAGAGTAATATTATTTTTCGAAATTTTTTTAAATATATTAAAAAAAGGAAATAAGAAAAAGGAAATTCTCCATTCATAATATTTCCTTTTCAAGCGATTATTTAAAAATTATGAATTCATAAATTATTATAAGTTATTATTAAATGACGAATGATTCAAATATGTGGAAAAATACTACAAGAATGTGATAACAAAAAAATTTTAATAAGAAATAATTCCAAGAATAGAAATAGAATAGAATAGGATATTATGCAACATTTAACGACAAAAGGAAATCAATTCTCGCATGACCTTTCGTAAATCACGCTCGTGTGAATTTGCGCAAAGCAGCCACGACAATTCGTGCGCCCATTATCCTGAGATATCGGCATTTCCAGTCCAAGATATCCTAGATCTTACTAGATTAACCATATTCGTACCTCTACACCACCACGGTCCAAGCATAATTTCCGTTTAACTCTCATTGTGCTTACTCGTGACTCCTTTTCGCCTCCCCCTTATTTATATGAGAATATTTATTAGCTACACGAGCCTTTCCTGCATCCCCATGTTAGAAAGTCCCACGTTTCGTGTACCATGGAAATTGTTCACGAGTCTTGTCTTGATAGATCCTTTGATCTCATGAATTTAACGAATCGCATCGTTAACATCACTGGGTAAATAAATATCTAGGAGGGAAAAGAAATCCACGCATCCATTGCGAAATCCATTGTCTTGGAATGTTTTTCTTAAATCTTTGTTGATTCAATTAAAATCTATTATTATCTTGATAATTTTTTATAGATTTTTCTACGAAGTTTTAAATATTATATTTTAATTACTATAAATTACTATATATATATATAATACTGTACATAATAATATATATAAAATATTATAAATTTTAATTACTATAATTATGTAATTTTAATATATAATTATATTTAAATAATTTTAATATATAAATTTTAATATATAATTATATTACTATAATTATTAACTATTATAATATACTATAATTATTTAAATTGCACTATTTTTTAATTCTTGTTAATAATAATATAGATTTAATTATAATAATGACAAAAAAAAGAGTAGATAGATAAAAATTACAAGAACGATATTTTTCGTTTCCCTTCTCGCCTCCCCTATTTCTCAATAATTGTCGATAATAATGGACAAAGAACTGTAACTTCCCGTTTTTACTTTGTTTAATCACCAATGATGATAATCTGATTGCAAATCTTGATGGAAGCAAAGATATATCGAATACTATAGAGAAGTGGTATGAAAATACGTCATTATTTTGTATCGAATAATTGCAACATGTGTCGAGTACCATATGAGTCATTTCAGTTTTTTTTCTTTTTTTTTTTCTTTTTTCTTTCTTTTTTGCAACAAATGTTTATAATTTGTTTCTATCGGAACAAGCTAGTATATAAAAAAAAAAATATATTATTCCTTTGCAATAATAACTCTGATAATCGTTTTGTTAATTGATAAATGAAACATTGTGATAGGAAGCATAAAATCGAACATTGTATTTGTATTCGTTCTATTGTATTCGTTTTATCTTGTTAATTGTTGGCGTTAATAGATCGGGTTATTCATAGGTAATACGCACTTTGAATTTTTAAAGTGAGGATAATTAGACAAAAGCTGTTTAAAATATTGCGTTCTTTTTTTTTTTTTTTTCATTTAAGGTCATCATTAGTAATAAAATATTATTATTATTTTTTTTTTAACATAACGCTGCAAAAGTTTTTCATTATAATTTTTAATCACAAAGTAAAATTATATTAAATTCCTTTTTTCACTGTTCGATCTTCTTTTTATCTTTTTTTTTCTTTTCCCTCGTCTATCTTTAATCGATTTAAAGTAAATTCTTACAAATTATTATATTAATTTTATTGATAAAATTAAGATTAATATCGGTACGGAAAATTTTCGCTGATACGTGATATGTGATATGTGATCGTATGGATATTTCGTATCCGTAAGCATTATGACATAAGGGCTATCTTAAGAAATACTTTTGTTTCCAAACATCGTTATCGAGATTATCGTGGACGTTGTCAATGAAATCGTCACCGTTTTTTTATAAGATCGATATTTTAACGATATTTGGTCACGTGAAAGACAGATGCGACGGATTTAATCATTTTTAAGATCGTTTATTCAGATAAGGGCTTATGTCGAATAATTGAATGTGCGATAATTCAATCTCACGATAATCAATCAAATATGAAGATAAGATGATCGAGAATGAAGATAAGAAACGGATAATTAGTTGGATTTTGGCAGAAATTGTTTTTGAAGATTTTATGAACTCGTTATTAATGAAGATTGATAATAATCGCAAATATTCCCACTTCAAATTGAAATAAAATGTCAAATCATTGTTATTATGTAATTGTATATACACGATGCTAATTCTTGATGCATTTCTAATAATTTTTGATAATCGAGAAAAATATGTTATATTTTACGTGTATATGATTTTTTAGATACAACATGGAGAAAAATGAAAAAGAGGAACAAGGCAATCCTATGAAAGAGTTCAATAGCAGGTATATATTTATATAATTTATATGTTATTTGGAAATTTACTTCAGTGAATATGAAATTAAAATTTCTAAATTTTCATATTATTAGATTATTATTAGATAATGATTGATAGAGTTAATAGAAAATTTCTGTTAAGTTTATTAATTAATACTAATTATAAGTTTGTAATTTTAATTTTTCTAATAGTAAGTAATAAGTAATATTGAGACTGTCAGTTTGAGAAACATAAAACATAAAAAGTACTTTTTACAATTTAAAAATATATTCTATTTTTGTATGTCATCAGAACGAAAATAGCCACCATTGAAATTGAAGGATACAACGAGAAGGATGAATTATACAATCCCTTCGAAAATCGTGACAAGAAAAATTCCAATTCGTAAGTAATTTTTATTTTGCTTTTCTATTAAGATAAACAAAGTATGAAAAATTAATACGTTTTATTATACAGATATCCGATTTTCACTCTCTTATATCTCTTATAATAATCTATTAAATTAAAATAATTTAAATAAATTAAATAATTTATCCCTTACAATAATAATCTAAATAAACAAACGGTAATAAATTAATAAACTGCAAATTTTCAATGAACAATCCCACAATTTGTTTCCACCTATATTTCTTTTAACACGATCAAACATCGAAACACGATCCTCGATATTAAAAAAACTTATTCGTTCCATTGATAGATTTTCAATTTTTCTTCGAAACGAAATTAAGAGCGCAAAAACAAAAAAAAAATCTTATCTTTTACAGAGATTTTGGTGCTCTGGCTCATCTATTAAAATCATCCCTCGGTACCGGAATCCTCGCCATGCCGAATGCGATCAAAAATGGCGGGGTGATATTCGGCGGAATAGGGACGATAATAATCGGTTTAATATGCGCGCATTGTGTCCACATATTGGTTCGCTCGTCCCATATTCTGTGCAAACGTACGAAAACACCTCAGATGACGTATGCCGAGACAGCGGAAGCTGCGTTCCTTTGCGGTCCAAAAACCGTCAGGCCTTTCGCTAATTTCAGTCGAATGTTCGTAAATGCTGCATTGTGCGCGACATACATAGGCGGTGCTTGCGTATACGTGGTTTTCGTATCGACCTCGATTAAACAGGTAACACGTCCACGTTGAATTCCAAATTTTTTTTTTTATATATACACGAATAATTTTCATATTTCTAAAAATATTTTCTCTCTCTAATAATATTTAGCTGGTGGACTTCCACACCGGTATGGCCATACCGATACGATTGTACATACTCACACTGATACCCGCGGTGTTATTGCTGGGGCAAGTGCGAAATTTGAAGTTCATGGTGCCGTTCTCTATCGTGGCCAACCTTTCCATGATGACCGGTTTCGCGTTGACTCTGTATTATATCTTCAACGACATCAAAATACCATCGCATGTGAAGCCAATCGCCTCGATCGAACAATTGCCTTCGTTCTTCGCTACCGTACTATTTGCCATCGAGGGTATCGGTGTTGTGAGTACGATGAGTACAATGATATATTTGATTGATAATATAGATTGTTTTCTCAATTCGATAATTAAATTCACTTTTGCAGGTGATGCCTGTCGAAAATAGTATGAAGAATCCTCACCACTTCCTTGGTTGTCCAAGTGTTCTTAATATAACAATGACTATAGTGGTATCTTTGTACACTGTATTAGGCGTGTTCGGATATTTGAAGTACATGGAAGATATCAAGGGGAGTATCACGCTAAATATACCAACAGAGGATATGTAAGTACTTTTTATTATATTAAACGAATTGCGAACGAATTGTTTAAAATTGTTTTATATTATATACTATATTATATCACTGTTGCTATTATTATTTATTTTATCAGATTGGGACAAGTGGTAAAATTGCTCATAGCATTGGCAGTTTTGTTCACATACGGATTACAACTTTTCGTCCCGATGGATATCATGTGGAGAGCTGTGAAAGAGAAATGTAGTCACAAGTATCAAGGCCTGTGCCACACAGTAATGAGAATATGCATAAGTATATTTACAAGTGAGTTACTTTCATTCTTAAATTATATAATGTGTGCACCGAAGATATTGTGCGAAATGCACAATATATCTCTTTCTCTTACTTTTAACTTATCTCTTTCTCTAAAATACTTTTCACTGTAACACATTAATTATTAACGGACAAGCAATGACGACACGCTTCCTAATCTAAAACTCGTCCTTAAAATTTGTTTTTCATCATAAATCATTAGTTCTCGCGTATCTACTTCGAAGAAAACAGTTTGTAACACTTTGTAACTCTAATACATTTTATAAATGTATATAGATAATATACATTAGAGCTATGTATATTATCTTCTATCTCTTATGCCGATAGACGATCCACGGATAATTTAAAATCTGTCGATATAAATCGATCTTTACTACGTGTACCAGACGCACGTGATACTTTTCTAACAAAGGAAGAGAGAAATGCGAGTCGAAATGGGAAGATGCACCCAGATCGGGTCAGTGGAATACCCATTGGCTTTGTAACCGCATGACTCACTATTAACCATGAGCATCGTTCAATGACTCGTGCTCATTTCATTGAGAATCTATCAAGTTCATATATAATGTGATTCACGTCGTTCGTGCTTTGACTTTTCAACGTCTTATGTCTCTTAATAGCGGAAGTTATAATCCTCTTCGATTTATCGTAAAAAATGATTTGCTAACAAAGTCAGACGCATTCATTCACAATCAGTATTTGATCCCTGATCTTTAATTTTTTTTTATTATTAAAATTCGTAGAAGATATCTTTTGTTGTACATTTTCGAAAAATTCGTCTCTTATTATTTCAGTTTGTGTGGCATTACTTGTTCCTGAACTCGAGCCATTCATCTCTTTGGTCGGTTCGATATTTTTCTCGATACTCGGCATCACGATTCCAGCCATCGTTGAAACAATTTCTTGTTGGGACGGCCATCTTGGCAGAGGCAAATGGAGATTTTGGAAAAACAGTACGCTTGTGATATTCTCTCTGTTGGCGTTAATATTCGGTTCCTGGATCTCTATTTCAGATATAATCAAATTATATAAATAAGTTTATTTATAATGTATTCGCGTACGTGGAAAAAAAGACTTAGTTTTCTTAAAATGTGTTAATATGTTCACTGTATACTACATTGTATATATATATATATATATAT